TATCTACTTCCATTCTTCTAAATGAAATTGATTTGTGGTCGCTAGCACCCAGTTCTTCTGATACTTCTAAATTATTAACAAGGGATTCATTGTTTGCCAGAACTAAGTCAAGCAGGTTATTACCCCTTGTAGGTTCTGTCACAAACTGCTTCAAAAAACAATCCTGAACTACTTCTAAGAAGTCGTATGATTCTAAATTCCCAGTCAAGAAATTCCAATCAATATGACTAAAATTAAAGTCTCCTAGAATTACTACATTATCGTGCCTTGTGGCCCTAACAATTTCCTCCCATAGTAGTCTCCCCTGGTCCCTATCTAAATTTGGGGGATGGTATATCACACCTAAAATTAACTTTTCACGCCCCTCTGAAAATTCTATCCAAACAGACTCTGTATGTGTTACTTCAGACTTAATACCCGTTTTTATGCAACAGTTCAAGCGATCTCGGACATACAGTGCCACCCACCCCCCTTCCTCGATATTTCTATCTACTTGGAACAATTTAAAACCCTGAATGTGACATTCTGCAGGCATGTCCCGACTTTTTGAATTAAACCACGTCTCAGTAATGGCAAATACATCTATGTTACCTGCACTAGCAACTAGTCTCAACTCGTCCATCTTATTCCTAGCACCTGCGACTATTTGTGTAATAAATACCTAAAGACCCTCCTCTCTTTACCCTTCCTGCTCCTTTCTGTTATTCCACTAATCCTATTACTGTCCTTGTCAATTAGTGCACTGGCTTTCCATTATCCACCTTATTTTGCCTATTACTAGTTCTCCTAGTACTCATATTACTACCCTGAGACTTCACAGTTTTCCCCGCAAAAAACCCATACCACTAACTATTCCTAGTTTAAAGACCTAACAGCTCCCTCCACTGCGTTGGCCAGTGCTCCCACCCCACACCTAGATAAGTGAACCCCATCCCGGCATACATGTCATTTCTGCCATAAAAGAGGTCCTCCAGTTGTCAATGAATGTTACTGCATTTTCCTTACAGTATTTGTCCAGCCAGCAATTGACACCAATTGCTCTGGACAACCATTCATTTCCAACTCCTCTCCTTGGCAAAATGCCACATATGACAGGTTTCCCACCCTTCCTCCTAATTATCTCTATTGCTGACCTATACCTGCTAATCAGGTCCTCACTCCTACGTCTGCCAACATCGTTGCCTCCAGCACTGAGACAGATAATAGGATTGCTCCCATTACCTCTCATGATGTCATCCAGACGGCTAACAATATCCTTCATCCCAGCCCCAGGAAAACACACTCTCTGCCTCCTACTCCTATCCTTCAAGCAGAATGCCCTATCCATGTACCTAATCTGGCTATCCCCAACAACAACAATGTTTTTACCTTCCTTGGCGTCGTCCGTCGTGATGCTCCGAGTAGTCGACTCACATTCGCCAGGTAGCATTACACCACTTGTAGAATTCGTCAAGACGTTCTCGATGGTCTTCGTTGGGGTTTCTAGGGATGTCTCACTCACGTCTGCCAATGCAGACTGAGGGACTGATTACCTCAAACTCCTCCTCTCCTTACGACTTTCTACTTTGTATCGGACTGATGAAGCCACTGTGTGGCGAAACGTTTCCTGAATAAAGATTCCTATATGTTGCATAAGTGTCTCAATCTTCATTGCTGTCTTGGTTTAAGGTTGCTGCTTACCATAACCCCCAAGTCCTTTTCGCAATATGTATGGCTAAGTTCTACATTATTTAACTTATAAGTTTGGATTTATCTCAAGAAGTATAAGTAACAGAAGTCCAAAAGTTATTTTACAGCTCTATACATCACTAGTGGGGCCTCATTTAGATTATGCTGCTCAGTTTTGGTCCCCTTACTACAGGATGGACATAGACTCATTAGACAACATACAGAGAAGAATGACTAAAATGATTTACTGTGTAAGGAACCTCCCGTATGAAGATAGACTTAAAGCCTTGGTTTAGAAAGACACGTAAGCAAACACTATAACATATTTATTAGAAAACGTTTCGGTTCTGGGACCTTGATCAAGGTCCCAGGACCGAAACGTTTTCTAATAAATGTTAGTGTTTGCTTACGTGTCTTTCTAAACCAACTTGTCGGTGAACATTAAAATGGTATAAAATACCGACAGGTTGTTAGGTAAGACACATATGCAACAGTTAGGTATCTTTATTTTGAAACGTTTCGCCTACACAGTAGGCTTCTTCAGTCGAGTACAGAAAAATTGATAGAAGCAGAAGAGACTTGAAGACGATGTAATCAGTCCATCACCCTTAAAGTTTTGAGGTGGTCAGTCCCTCATCTGGAGAAGAGCATTGTTCCGAAGTCTGAAACAATATTGTCTAATTTATCAACATGTCGGTTCTCTGAACCATTCATCTACATATACTGTTTGTATCGGCTTGACAAAGCTCCTCAAGAGCGAAACGTTGCCAGAATAAAATGTCACATTAGTTGCACTTGTGTCCTTTTACTTTACACAAAGAAAAGGTCAGTCATCATTTTTTAATGCGATACACGCGCAGTAAAATCTTTTTTATAGACTGTATATGGCATATAAATGAGTGAGCACACGACACGAGTATTTCAGTACTAACGCAGCTTTGGTCAAGACAGCACCACTAATAGGACCTCTGCCTCTGAAACTTCATTGGTGGTAAACTATTTTTATATGTAGTATATATTTGTAGATGAGTGGTTCAGAGAACCGACATGTTGATAAATTAGACACATGTGCAACTCTTGGGTATCTTTATTGAGGAAACGTTTCGCCACACAGTGGCTTCATCAGTCCATATGTAGGAGAATCTTGAAGAACAGGAGGAGAATGAGGTAATCAGTCCCTCAACCTTGAGTCGATGTGGTCAGTCCATCAATTCAAGATGATGGACTGACCACATCGATAAGGTATGGAGGGACTGGATTACCTCATACTCCTCCTGTTCTTCAAGATTCCCTTTGTATGGACTGATGAACTCACTGGTGGCGAAACGTTCCTCAATAGATACCCAATGCACATGTGCTAATTTATCAATATGTATATATATGCATAGAGAGACACCGCTAAGCTAACATGCCTTAAAAAGTAGTAGCCCTAATTAACAAATTAATGTACATCAGATTATTACCTGGGTTATAATATTCAAGGGAACCATTGCAACCTGGTATCATTATTGAGGAAACGTTCGCACCACAGTGGCTTCATCAGTCATACTAGGAGAAACTGAGTAACAGGAGGGAATGGAATCAGTCCCTCAACCTTGAGTCGATGTTCAGTCCATCAATCTTGAGTAGATACGGCATATGGTACAAGCCAGCTTATAAACCGTATGGCAGGAGGGGTGTAGCAGTCATAGGTAGTGTGACATTTGTTCAATGTTGATGGACTGAACACATCGACTCAAGGTTGAGGGACTGATTACCTCATTCTCCTCCTGTTCTTCAAGTTTCTCCTATGTATGGACTGATGAAGCCACTGTGTGGCGAAACGTTTCGTCAATAAAGATACCCAAGAGTTGCACATGTGTCTAATTTATCAACATGTCGGTTCTCTGAACCATTCATCTACAATTCAAGGGGAAGCGCTAAACTCATAGGGGGTTCAATGATACCTGAGAAACTGAGGTAATCAGGTTTGGTCCTAGGAATTGAAGACAAACTCCAACATTCTGGATCAAGAGACTTCCATTTGTACCAAGCCACCCCTTCCTCAGTCATGCAGGATTAACCCAAGGTAAGCCAACAAATTGAAGATTGAGACACTTATGCAGCATATGGGAATCTTTATTCAGGAAACGTTTCGCCACACAGTGGCTTCATCAGTCCAATACAAAGAGGAAGGCGTAAGGAGAGGAGGAGCATGAGGTATTGGACTGATGAAGCCACTGTGTGGCGAAAAGTTTCCTGAATAAAGATTCCCATATGCTGCATAAGTGTCTCAATCTTTAACTTGTCGGTTTTTCAAATCATTCATCACACATAAGCCAACAAAGCCAGGCACCGTGGCTTACTTTCAAACATATTTACTGCCAAGTGACAGAGGACTGTGTGTGTGAGATCTGCTTACACATCAAGACCAGAGATCGAACTTTTGTCCTATCAGTTGGGGAGCCGTGCTTCACTATACCGCCAGTACTGTGCTTCACTATATCGCCCATATTGTGCTTCACTGTACCACCCATACTGTGCTTCATTATACCACCCATACTGTGCTTCATTATACCACCCATACTGTGCTTCATTATACCACCCATACTGTGCTTCACCATACCACCTATACTGTGCTTCACCATACCACCCATACTGTGCTTCACTATACCACCCATACTGTGCTTCATTATACCACCCATACTGTGCTTCACTATACCACCTATACTGTGCTTCAATATACCACCTATACTGTGCTTCACTATACCACCCATACTGTGCTTCACTATACCACCTATACTGTGTTTCACTATACCACCCATACTGTGCTTCACTATACCACCTATACTGTTTCACTATACCACCCATACTGTGCTTCACTATACCACCTATACTGTGCTTCACCATACCACCCATACTGTGCTTCACTATACCACCTATACTGTGCTTCACTATACCACCCATACTGTTCTTCACTATACCACATATACTGTGCTTCACTGTACCACCTATACTGTGCTTCACTATACCACCTATACTGTGTTTCACTATACCACCCATACTGTGCTTCACTATACCACCTATACTGTGTTTCACTATACCACCCATACTGTGCTTCACTATACCACCCATACTGTGCTTCACTATACCACCTATACTGTGCTTCACTATACCACCTATACTGTGCTTCACTATACCACCCATACTGTTTTTCACTATACTACCCATACTGTGCTTCACTATACAGCCCATACTATTCTTCACTATACCACCCATACTGTGCTTCACTATACCACCCATACTGTGCTTCACTATACCACCCATACTGTGCTTCACTATACAGCCCATACTATTCTTCACTATACCACCCATACTGTGCTTCACTATACCACCCATACTGAGCTAAACAATACCACCTATACTGTGCTTCACTATACCACCCATACTGCTCTTCACTATACCACCCATACTGTGCTTCACTATACCACCCATACTGTGCTTCACTATACCACCTATACTGTGCTTCACTATACCACCCATACTGTTCTTCACTATACAGCCCATACTATTCTTCACTATACCACCCATACTGTGCTTCACTATACCACCCATACTGTTCTTCACTATACAGCCCATACTATTCTTCACTATACCACCCATACTGTGCTTCACTATACCACCCATACTATTCTTCACTATACCACCCATACTGTGCTTCACTATACCACCCATACTGTGCTTCACTATACCACCCATACTGTGCTTCACTATACCACCCATACTGTGCTTCACTATACCACCCATACTATTCTTCACTATACCACCCATACTGTGCTTCACTATACCACCCATACTGTGCTTCACTATACCACCCATACTGTGCTTCACTATACCACCCATACTGTTCTTCACTGTACCACCCATACTGTGCTTCACTATACCACCCATACTGTTCTTCACTATACAGCCATACTATTCTTCACTATACCACCCATACTATTCTTCACTATACCACCCATACTGTGCTTCACTATACCACCCACACTGTGCTTCACTATACCACCCATACTGTGCTTCACTATACCACCCATACTGTTCTTCACTGTACCACCCATACTGTGCTTCACTATACCACCCATACTGTTCTTCACTATACCACCCATACTGTGCTTCACTATACCACCCATACTGTGCTAAACTATACCACCCATACTGTGCTTCACTATACCACCCACACTGTGCTAAACTATACCACCCATACTGTGCTTCACTATACCACCTATACTGTGCTTCACTATACCACCTATACTGTGCTTCACTATACCACCTATTCTGTGCTTCACTATACCACCTATACTGTTCTTCACTATACCACCTATACTGTGCTTCACTATACCACCTATACTGTGCTTCACTATACCACCTATACTGTGCTTCACTATACCACCTATACTGTGCTTCACTATACCACCTATACTGTGCTTCACTATACCACCTATACTGTGCTTCACTATACCACCTATACTGTGCTTCACTATACCACCTATACTGTGCTTCACTATACCACCTATACTGTGCTTCACTATACCACCCATACTGTGCTTCACTATACCACCTATACTGTTTTTCACTATACCACCTATACTGTTCTTCACTATACCACCTATACTGTGCTTCACTATACCACCTATACTGTGCTTCACTATACCTCATTCATTTCCTAGTTATCCACTGTTGCTTTCAATCAATTTTCTCGACTTAACATTAGTTAGATTAAGGCTAGACTGTCGTCTATTAACAATAAAAAATCTTCTAGCACAATTTTTATAAATATATCACCGAGCAGTGTGCTGCGGCCATTTTTTGAGTGATAGTTACATGGTGGGAAGTAAAATTAATAAATTTAAAGCGCGAGTAAAGAACGGGGCTCAAGGAGCTCACTTTACAACAAACAGTGAGATAATAACTGTTGACGGAAAGTATTTAACTGTTTCAGCAAGTGAAATACTCATTTCGATTAATAGTACTGACTGCACTTTGAAATGAGCCAAGAACAGCTCTTAGCCTGTAAATATGTTTAAACCGGATTACAACTATAATATTGTAAATTCACTGATGTAAACAAATCCTAAATAGTTGGTAAATCGTGTCCTTTTTCTTTTTTATAGGTTACCAAGTCAGCTGCTCAAGAATATCACTTTGCGTCATTGTGCGCACTATTTGTGAATTTTCAGGACAAAATAACGAATCAACTATAGAGGAGTTTATGTGCAATATATGTTAGCTACTGCTGTTGCAAAGCCCCATTGTCCAGTGACTGGTTGACCACTGAAGATGGAGTCTGACAACAGTAATCAAGCATCTCTGCTCTCGCCACAAACCTTCAACGCTGACACCACCCACGCTGGCCTCCCCACATACGCATATTTCTACCTACTCGGAACTTACGTAAACCCGAGCACATTACTGCTTTTTCTGGCCAGCAACTTTTTATGCTTGGTAAGTTCACAAGTGAGAGGCCAACTGTTTCACTCTCACCCACCGTAATCCGTTTTTTATTTTATTGCGTGTGAAAGTTTATGTCGAATATTAGCCATTTTCTAGTGCATAATCAAGTGCAACTTCCTGATTATTCCATTAGTGAAATTTAGATTATGAATGCCACTTTCTTTCACTATAACTTTTCTTCCATTCAGACTCAAGTTCACATGAAGGACTAAAGATATTTATATCCGAGTGAATATTCAACACTGGAAGTGTTATTTTAACACTTGGTATCAGTCTAACATGGTATCAGTACTTTAACATTTGGTATCAGTCTAACGAATAGTTTCTTGTCTTCCTATCACACAGCTTAGTCTCGTGATATTTATTGACCCACAGTGATGTGTAGGTTTCGGTAGTCATTGCCAATAATGGGTCTAAGTTTTTATACGCATATAAAAATTTTACAGTAAGCTTATATTATTTATCTTACAAAACTGTGGGCTTTAATGGCGTGGAATTGCCAGAAGCGGGAATAGTGGGCTTAGGGCCTGAAGTCGACACTACATTCTGCGTGGTTCGTATCTCTGTGATGTGGAGTGAGGGATCTTCAAGTATAAATGCAAATATCACGTCTAATAAATGTAATTTACTTAATGAAAGGACTTAAAATGGCACTATAGTATACTGTGCAACCCCTATCATTCATATTCCATGATGATTAATCAATTGAGTAAATTTTGCAAAAAATAATCATGTCACTCATTCTCTTGCACACTATTTTCTTCATAAAATGAAAGTACAAATGCAACTAGATTTCACTTTATCCCGAAATGCCTCGGCATGATAGTGGCTGTCTTTGTACTTAGCAAATCAAAATTGTAATTACACATTGTAACCTTTACAAAGAAATAAACTATTTATTTATTTATACTGAATCTCCACATCGATTGCAGTTGATTGCCTATCGCTGTCTCACCATCTACTGGGCAGCCAGAAGTCACCAGCAGCATGACTCCCGTAACTTGGAGGAGGAGACTGAGCCCAGGAAGGTAGTGGCTGAACCTGGAGGCTGGTTGAGACCAGTGAGCAACATAGAAATACATTCAGCAACACCACTGGTTCTAGGCACTGGTAACACTGCTCAGGTGTTGTGGCTCTCCTCGTCTCAGCCCATCACACCTGAGGACGTTAAACAAGCTCTCTCCGTAATAGCTGAGTGAGTATAAGTCTCTTGTTCTGTATAGAAATAAAAAGATTTTGTAGATATAGCTTTAGAGTATAAAACTTTTAAGGTTTTGCATGAGTATTTTATATATAATATATATATATATATATTATTATATATAATATATATATATATATATTATATATATATATATATATAATTATATAATATATATATATATATATATATATATATATATATATATATATATATATATATATATATTATATATATATATATATATATAATATATTATAATATACTCCCTAATATAGGGAGGTACCACCTCTGAAACTGTCCTGGGGACCCTCATCCTTAGAGAAAAGAATAAACTTGTTTCACGGGAAACTCAAGGTTCTCCCTGAAGCTGTTTGAAAATTTTCTCCTACCACCCCCTATATATTCTATATATGCTTTTATTTAAAAACAAGATGCATTGACAAAAATACAATAGGGAGTAAAACAACATAGATAACAACTCAGAGATACACCTCAAATACTTCGTCCAGCTCCCCGGCGGTGGGCCGCGTGCCCAGAATGCTGCAAGCATTTTTCCTCTAGATCGCTACACTGAGTCTCTGAAAGAGGAATATATCGCCCTGTGGTCCTTGGTTTCTATGATGATTTTTTCACCCAACTCTTCGAGGAACTTTAGAGCACACTTGCCCCATGCTCCAAGGGCCGCCGACCCTATTGGGGTGAAGTTATAGCAAGGGGAAAGGCCTTCATATTTGCTGGTCTTCTGGGTCTCTCTCTGGCTGGCAGCTCCACCCACTTCAACTACGGAGTATGGTAAGTAGGTGTCTGCCAACGTGGCGGCACAGGTGTAGTCCCAGGCAATTTTTCTATCCTTCCAGGGTAGCATAGTGGCTCCATCAGGATGCCTTTAACTTCCATCAGACCTCTGTACTTGGGGTTCCCGTTGGGCTGGGTAATGGGCTGTGGCAAGGCTTCCCTTCTGATGTGTGACACACGAGACCATGAAGGTCGAATTAATCAGTTGTCTCCCTGCCGCAAATACATCTATGTTCGGTGAGGCTGGGGGCGGCTATGCGAAGAGCAACACCAATCCGAATGGCCTGTGGGTCGAGTCGAGTGCCCAAGGAGGAATTGGGAACAGCTAGAAGGAAATCTTCTGAGTGTGATGCCTTCACCGCTAGGAAACGAGCTTTGTTCTTTCCTGAAGCGTTGGTGAGCATCATGTTGGTGATTTTTTCCATGATCGATTTGTCCTAGTGTGACTGTTTGTGCTCTCTGAGAGGAGCTAGTTTACTGGAGGAGTCTGCAAGGATGTCCCACCGCATGACTGCTTCAGTGAATTTTGGGTCTTGAGCTCCTACCGTGTCTCCAAGCGCGTTCGGGGACAATACAATTTTCTTGACTAATCCACTGGAAGCCGAACACGAAGACAGAAATGCAGGTAAGGCTTCCTGCGTTGCTTTGCGCACCCCCATACCTCCCAGTCGCACTGGGAGGGTTGCCTGATCCCATTGCCAATCCTCTAGTGACAGATTCACCTCCTTCTTAAAGGTTCACCTCCTTCTTAAAGGTTCATCTCAGGTGTGCGTCATATTCGTCGAGTGTTGGGTTGTCAAAAGAGGGTGCGCACCTCAGGAAGTGAGTCTTGGCATAGTAAGACACCTTGTGAGGAGACACAGGGCATCATGGGCATCAAGATAGCTTATTCTCTCCTCCATTCTCTTCAGGTCATTCAATTTGTCCTTGAGGATCGTGTCGATGGCCTGGGGACCCAGTGGTGCTCCCAAGAGGATGTAGGATGGAGTGGTAGTAGAGACTTCAGGAAGGATTGTTCGCACAGCATTGATTATTTCCTGGTTCGTTGTGATGATCTCACACTTGGAGGGATTGAGGATGGGTCCCAGGTCTTCTCCCTGTGTCTTCACAAGTTGTAGGTCCTCTAACAGGGACTCTTCAGTACCTGCCAGAGGGCCATCATCCAGGTACCAAATGTTGAGCTTGCTGCATAGGCTGGAAGTTAGTTCTCTTACTGCCAAGCAGAAGAGAAGTGGAGCGAGTGGATCACCCTGCTGCACACCCTCTTATGAGGGAATTTCATGTTCGCCAAACAAAAGAATTGAGGATTTGCTGTAGCCAGCTGAAATGAAGGGAAAAAGACTTGGGAACCAATCCTGAACAGCCGGCAAGACCACATCTCTCTTCACCATATTAAAGGCATTTCTAAAATCAAGTTTGACTATGGCCTTGTCTTCTGGTAGGTCCCTGATGTAGGCCCTTGCTTCATGAGCTGTGGTTTTACTGCCTTGAGAGACACCAAAGCCCAGTTGGTGTGGCTGGAGTAAACTGGTAGCTTCTAGACGAATGTTCTTATTGCTGCTTTGGCAACGAGACGGCGAAATGTTTCCAACAGCAATGGGTCTGATTCCCCCATCCTTCTTCTTCAAGGCACATAGTGAGGCTTCAAAAAAGAAAGGTTTAATTTCTTCTGGGATTCGCCCAGCCAGGCAGTTGTTGAAAGTTGTTAACTCGGTGAGAAGAATTGATGCAGATCCCGTTTTCCTTGGAATTTTTCTTTGGTCTACCTCTGTGATTCCTGCGATGATGGGGCAAAGGGACACAATTATCTGTTCTTGGGTGGTTGTGCACTGCCTTGATGACCGATGTGGTTAGCAGTTTGCCTCGTCTTTCAGGAACTGCAAGACAGACATTGCCTCGGGCTTAAGAAGGTCTGTGAATTTCCCTGCTGCATATGGGCGAGCCACTGTGGGATAGGGTACTGCTAGCAGTGGATTTGAATGCTGCTCTTTCCTGGGGGCCTATGTGATCCCGCACACCCATTGTGTGCACGAATAAGGCCATCCCTGTTGCGTGCTCGAAACTCTCCACACATCTTTGGCTTTGTGGCTGGCTGGCTGAATCATCTGTCATAGCTCAAACTGTGTGGTAAGCCCTGGATGAAGGGAAAATGGCACATAACACATACCGCATATGGTTCATGGTAGTGGCGGGGTAGGAGAGGGATCTCCCGTCTCTATAGTGGGCGGTGGAGGAGAGGGGTCTCCTGTCTCTATGGTGGGCGGTGGAAGAGAGGGGTCTCCCGTCTCTTTGGTGGGCGGTGGAGGAGAGGGGTCTCCCGTCTCTATGGTGGGCAGCGGAGGAGAGGTAGGTGTGGAGGGTGTGTGATGGGGCAGGCCGGCCTGACGGAGTGGTGCACTCACTTCCTCCCACGACACGCCACTATACACCACGACTCACGAAATCGTAATGACACGACTGCAAACAAACCATACCACGGGCGGGGATAGAACCCGCGATCAGTCTCAAAACTCCAGACCGTCGCGTTAGCCACTGGGCTCTGAGCTCTGTTCCACAAGGCACAGTACTCGCCCCCATCTTATTCCTCATCTTCATATCACACATAGACAGAGATATACACCACAGCACCGTATCATCCTTTGCAGATGATACTAGGATCTGTACGAGGCTGTCATCTGCTGAGGACGCGGTTAACCTCCAGGAAGATATAAACAAAGTTTTCCAGTGGGCAACGGAAAACAATATAATGTTCAATGAGGACAAATTCCAACTACTCCGTTATAGAAAACTGGAGGAGATAATAACTAGAACAGAGTATACTACAGACTCTGGCCATACAATAGAGCGGAAAAATAATGTAAGGGGCCTGGAAGTAGTAATGTCTGAGGATCTCACTTTCAAGGATCACAACAGTGCCACGGTCACAAGTGCAAAGAAAATGATAGGATGGATAATGAGAACGTTCAAAACGAGAGATGCCAAGCCAATGATGATCCTTTTCAAATCACTATTCTCTCTAGGCTGGAATACTGCTGTACATTAACATCTCCACTCAAAGCAGGTGAAACTGCAGTTCTAGAGAGTGTACAGAGATCCTTTGCTGCACTTATAAGTTCTGTCAAGCACCTTAACTACTGGGAACGCTTGGAAGCACTTGACTTGTACTCGTTGGAACACAGGAGAGAGAGGTGTATCATAATCTACACTTGGAAAATCCTGGAAGGAATGGTCCCGAATCTGCACACACAAATCACTCCCTACTAAAGTAAAAGACTGGGGAGGCGATGCAAAATACCCCCAATTAAAAGTAGGGGCGCCATTGGTACACTAAGAGAAAACACCATAAGTGTCCGGGGCCCAAGACTGTTCAACAGCCTCCAATCAAGCATTAGGGGAATTACCAATAAACCCCTGGCTGCCTTCAAGAGAGAGCTGGACAGATACCTAAAGTCAGTGACGGATCAGCCAGGCTGTGGCTCGTACGTTGGACTGCATGCGGCCAGCAGTAACAGCCTGGTTGAACAGGCCCTGATCCACCTGGAGGCCTGGTCATGGACCGGGCCGCGGGGGCGTTGATCCCCGGAATAACCTCCAGGTAAACTCCAGGTAAACTGGGCCAGCTAGCCACAATAAGATTCGTCCAACTAGGTATATTTCTACACCATAGGAAGGTTAGCATAGGCACCACTGTGACCACAAATGCAAGTTTTTACAGACGAATCTCCAGCTAGCGTGGCCGTGACGAACTCTAGTTCAAGTCCCCTCAAAGCCGTCAACATGACTCACGAAATCGTAATGACACGTCTGCAAACAAACCATACCACGGGTGAGAGTAGAACCCGTGATCAGAGAGTCTCAAATCGCGGGTTCTAGCCTCGCCCGTGATATGGTTTGTTTCATAAGAACATAAGAAAGAAGGAACACTGCAACAGGCCTACTGACCCATGCGGAGCAGGTCCATGTCCCCCCCCCCCGGATTAGACCAATGACCCCTCCGGATTAGCCCAATGACCCAACCAGTCTGGTCACCTCCACTCAAGGATGGAGCTCTGCACCAGACCCAGCAGCACAAGCTAGTCAGGTCCAACTCACACCCACCCACATCTACTCATGTATTTATCTAACACTATATACCACTATGCTCTGTGTAGTTCCCTGCTATAAACGACACACCGCTATACACTACACATGCTAAG